AGGGGTTCTTCGCTCCTACGACAGAGGAGCATGGGGGCCCAGGAGGCGGGGGGAGGACGATCGGCCCACACGGAGCAGTGGGTGGCAGCCCTGGGTTCAGCTCAGCGACCTGGCGGCTCAGTGACCAGGATGGCCTAACGCAGGGCCAGGGTTCCCTCTGGGCCGCGGTGACTAGTGACAATAATAGCGGTGCTGGCTGGGAAGGTGGTCATGACCCTGGCTTTGGCTCCTGTCGTCAGACCTTCCCCGGCAGCTGCCGCCCCTCCCAGCACACCCTCTGCCTCACAGCTTTAATGAAAATCAGACAGAGATCTTTGGAGCTGGTTAGCATTTCAATACTTTCAATAATGGGTATTACCAAGTCACCCTCCTAAAACTATTCCTCTGCTCTGGAGAGGTGCCCCCGCCACCCACCCGCCCATACACTCACACCCACACAGCCCCGGCCTCCCCACCCACAAGGCACTGTCACCCAGGCTCACTCGCGCTCGCTCACACTGTGTGCTTGAGCTCCCCCTCCCTCTCTCTCCTTCCCTCCTTTCCTCCTTCCCTCCCTCTCTCCTTCTCTGTCTCTCTCTCCCGCAAATACCCGCAAACACAGAGAGCTGTTCCCATCTGTCAGAATGCTGATGTGGGCTCATCTCCTCCCGACAAGGCAGAATGATGATAAGGTTATTTTTTAATATCAGGGATATTAATACTCCTCTTTCTGATCATGAGCCATGGCTGATCCCTCCTGCTCCCTGAGGGAGGTCTTGGGGTTGGGCGGGGGGTGGGGGTGGGGGGAGTGAGGGCGAGGCTGAGATGCAGGAGGGCCTACTGTGTACCAGGAACCCTTTCAATCTTCATAATATGAGGGCAGTGGTGGTGTCCCCATTTGACAGATCGGGGGCTGAGGCTCAGAGAGGGAAAGTGATTTCCCGAAACCACAGAGCGCACAGCGAGTGTCAGGCCTGGGATCCCAACCAGGTCTGACTCCAGTGCCCAAGCTCTTTGCTGCCTCCCAACACATTTAGAGACTTTCCCCCACCTGCTGCCAGGAGCCCCATCCTGATACTCCATAGGGAGGGTCCCTGCTCCACCCCATGGTCAAGCTGAAAGGTCAGGCCCCGTTTGGCCCTGGCCCCAGGCCTGGCCCCATAATCCAGCCTTCCCAAAGGGTACGGGGCCCTGCAGACCCCAGACTTAGCAGAACCTCCCTGCCCCATCCCCTGTGGTTGCCCAGCCGTAGCCTCTCCTTGGGGCCACGAGCTCCTTTACCTTCCCCCAGAAGTCTGAGGGGCTTAGGGAAGGGTCAGCACACGCACCGGGTAACCCACAAATCAGTAGCCAACATGGCATCTGCTTTCTCCCTCCCTGAGACCAACCCCAAGTTCTGAACTTTCCCCTCTTCTGAGCACCCACCACTCTCCCTGCTTCCAATGCCTCACGACTAAATGCGTGGGCTCTGGAAACACAGATGTGAATTCAAATCCCAAGCCCGCCACTTAGTAGCTGTGGCATCTTGGACAAATATGTCACCTCCCCCCATCCCCGATTATTCTTTTATAAAGTATAGATAATAATAGAACTTACTTCAAAAGGCTGTGGTTAAGATTAACAGGTATAGTGAATACTGGGCCATGTCATCCTAGATATTCGGAGCCCTTAGAGACCTTCCCCCAGGCTGAGCAGCGCCCCAGAGAGGTACCGAGAGTGGTCTAAAGTTACATAGGCAGTTAGTAGCAAAGGGAATCTAGCTCTAGTTCCAGGCCTGGGCAGGGCTCAAAAGGGAGCGAGGGACGGGGCAAAAAAGCCCTTACGGAGTGTGCCAAATGTTGAAGGTCTGGTGCCCAGGAGGAGCAGAGGAAGTCCCTGCTCTCACAAGATGGTGTCTCGAATCAAGGAATCAGATACGTGCAGGTAGGATTCCGAACTGAGCCAAGGGTGCTGCTGGAGATGGGCAAGATTCTGCGAGAGTGCTGACCTGGCCCAGGGCTCAGGCAGGGCTCCCTGAGGATGAACAGGGGTTATAGAGGTAGGAGAATGTTCCAGAAGAGGGACCTGAGGACAAAGTCTGTGTGCAAGAGGGGGCACAGTACATTCAAGAAAGTACAGAAGGGGAAGAGCAGGTGCCTGGAGAATGTCCAGACCACCTGCACTGGGCCTTGCAGGTGTGCTAAGGATTTGGGTCTTTATCCAGAGAGAAGAGTAGAAGGCTCTGGAAAGGCTCTACTCAGGGGAGGAGAAGGTGTGGGGCAGTGGCTGATCATGATCTTTGGCACTGAATGGCCTTCTGGCTACAGTGTGGGGTGTGGCTGAAGGGACCCAGGGAGGGTGCACGGAGCCAGTCACCCCGGTGAGAGGTGAGGGCGGCTCAGACCAGGCTGGTAGCCATGGTGAGGAGGAGATGGATTCAAGGTATGTTTTGGTGGTAAAATCAAAGGATTTGGGATGTCCTGGATACTTGGCTGATGGAGAAGGAGGTACAAAGTTCAGTTTCCTGACTTGTGCAGCTGGGTAGATGGTAATGCCAACCGAGGCCAGGCACGGGGCAGAGAAGCGGGTGCGTGGGTCTGGGGCAGGTGGTGTTTGAGGGGCGGTGGAGGTGATGGGAGTTGAGGCGGGACTGAGAGAGAAAGCCGTGGAGTCTGTGGAATACACAGTTCCAAGAAGTTTCCTGGGAACGGGGAGGAGAGAGGGAGACAGCATAGGCCAGGGGAGTGAGGGACAAAGGGATGGCGTGGTTTGGTTTCTCGGGACAGGAGAGACTTGTGCACGAGGAATAAGCAGCCCAGATCTCAGAGACCCATCCCAGTGTGGTCCTCCTTCCCCCCTGTTCTGCTGCTTCCTGTGGCGCCAAACTGTGGAAGTGATTGATTATATATAAACAGGAGGAAGCAATTAGTCTGTGCATGCCCGGCCATTAATAAGCCTCTTAGGTATTTATAACAACACCTCATTTACCCTCCAACCTGAGAACAAATCTCCTGAGAACAGTGAGAGATACCTGAAGCGACCTCTGAGCCACCACGTCACTGACATTAAACTCGGTCTCCACTAACAGAGGAGCCCCTCGCTTAGAGCCCACTGAGTCTTACTCTACGTACAATTCTAATAGCATTCGTGTTTTTTCAGGCCACCTTAGAAGCAGCAGCTCAGGAGGCCGTCGGGACACGCAGAGGCAGGAGCCCAGCAGCGGGGAGCCGGGGAAGACGCGGTCACACCAGGGAAGCAGAGAAGCCCGGGGTCACATCAAGGTGGGTCAGCCCGCCATCAGCTGGCCTGCAGGCGCCTCTGGCCCACACTGGCCCACCACCGGTGGCTGGGACGAACTCATCTCCAAGTCCTTTCCCACATCAATATTCAAGGATTCTTTGTTCACAGGGATGATTCTGAGCCACCGAGCAAGGGCTAAATTACATTCAGTATTTTTTGCTTAAAGAGGACTTTTTTAAAAAAATATTTTAAATTGTAAACTTTATTTTAAGTTTTCCTACAGTTTCTGAAATATTCCCTTATGTGGAAAGGGATTTTGTAATTGCCTAGTTAATTATCTGCTTCCCCGGTAGGCTGAAGATCCGGGAGAATGAGGACCACGTCCGTGTGGCCCCACCATCTTCATCCCAGCACCTGGCACAGTGAGCCAGGATGGGCTCGACAACAGAGTTGTTGAATTAGTGAACTGATTAGTAAATTAACATTGCATACCAGGCAACATTCACTCAACAAATACATTACGATGTTCGATGCGGCCTATTTCTTGTTACTTTTATAATATGGCTACTAGAAAAAATGTGAATTATAAATGTGGCGCTCACTCTATTTCTACCTGACAGGTTTGTCTTAGGCTTTCCTGCCCCAGCTCTACAGGCAAAGTACGAAGTGTAAACACACTGCCCACGTTCCGGGTGAATCTTTCCTATGTGACGTGAGCTACTTCCTCCGTCGTGTTTGGGGGGCTGCCTCCCCTCTAGCCTGCGAGCATGTTCCTGGGGGGGTGGTGGTCAGATCTCCAGCGGAGTGCCAGCACCACGTTCCCTCCGTGCCGGTTACAACTCGGGAAAACAGGTGCAGTGGGCACATTACAGATGGGAACACTGAGGCCCTAAGTGAAGAGGCAACATGGGCCTCATGCCAGGAATCTGGCTCTTCCTAAGACCTCCCAGGGCTCCATCCTCCAGCCTGGGGAGAAGGCAAAGTTTCTATATGCAAAGGTGAGGAATGTGCCCCCCTCCAGTCCCCTGACAGTGGAGGGTGAGAAGGGACTGTGGGGTGGGCTTCTCTGCAGGAGTCTGGGTGAGACAGCCTGGGGCAACAAGACATCCAGGGCAGGGCTTAGAGTGGGGGTGAACCACAAACCACTGTCCCCGCTCCGAGCACTCACACCCACCCACCTCCCACCAGAGCATCTCTTCTACTTGTCCCTGAAGGGGCGCCCCGCGGAGTTCTTCCCTTGGGGTGTAGGACTGCCCAGAGCCAGCCCCATCCTCTCAAATACAGTAGCCCCTTCCCACCCCAGATCTCTTGACAGGTTGCCAAGCATGTGTGCAACTCACTCATGTGAGCCTCATAGCAACCCTTTGAGTTGCACATCCTCATCATCCTCATGTAGCCGGGGAAACTGAGGTTCCGAAAGGCAAAGTGAGAATAAATACTCCTGAGAGGGTATTTCTCCCAGGAAATGGAGAATGTCATGGGGCTTTTGTCATGCTCCCTTCAACCTTCCTTCCCACTCCTGGATGGAAAAGTCAAAAAGTCGTGGGTTGGGGGAGGAGCCATGAGGTGGGGGAAGGAGTCAGAGGCTGTCCTGCTTGGCCAGGTCCAGTTCTCCCCACTCGCCCCGCACCTTGCCTGTTCCGCTGGAGCGAAGTCCCAAGGGGCCCACGTGCTGGTGGGAGAAGGTGAGGTGAGCACTGTTCCGATTCACCCCTCGGAGAGTTGAGGTCAAGCCCACGTAGCAGGGCTGGCTAGCATACCTGCACAGTGTTCTAGAAAGCAAGCTGTCCTGCAGCCCAGAAATGGCCTTCGGCAACGGCGGCCTCAAGCACTTGGCCAGTGAGGCGTGGGCCCCTTGGGTGGCTGCTCATTCATTCACTCACTCAGCAAACGTTCCCGCAGCACCCAGCCAGGACCCTTCATGGCTGCTGCCCTTGAGAGGCTCAGAGTCCGGTCGGGGAGGAGACACAAGCTAACCACAGTCATCCCAGATCCCACCCGTGCACCTCACAGAGCTTCCTATTCCCTCCTTCCGTCCTCACGAATCTCACTCTCCTTGCCTTTGAAATGGGGAAAAAGCAGGGATTGGATGAGAGAAGGGATGCAGAGTCTAGCCCGGGAGATGTGCTGATGGTGACAGGGACGCTGGGGAAGGCTTGTCCCTGCCCGGGGGGGTCCTCCGCAGCTGCCCTGCCTGCCCGACCACTCAGGAGAGGAGAGAAGGCACCATCTTCCCAAAGGCTCTCCTGAGACACCCATTTCTTTAGGAGAAGGGTCTAATGGCTTCTTTCTTCCCACTGGCGGGTGGGCAAGTTGCTACTTTGCGGCACAAGGACAGGCGGAGGGGAAAGGGTGGGAGGGAGAGGCCCGGGACAGAGCACACCAGGGCTGGGGCACCTGGGAGTTTTGGGGGTCGAGGAGACGCCTGAAAGCAAGCGGCTCTTACCCCCATGGAACTCCAGTGAAATGCAGTTCTAATTTCGCTAAAGAGCATTCGGAATATGGAGCAGACCCCTGACAGAGAACCGCCCCTCATGCTTACGGAGTCCTTCAAGGAGTCCCCAGCTCCACAAGACTGCAATAAGGGCAAAACCCAGGCTCAGCTGGCTCCACCTCGACCTGGAAATGCAGAACCCCAGCCCGCAGCAAAGCCTCCTCCCATCAATAAATATTTCTGGGAGCCCTGGCCGGGGTAGGCGATGCTGCATCCTGCACTCTGTGTGCAGTTTCTGTCCCGCCGCGCCCACTTCCCCAGTGCCCCAGGAGCGAGTTGCCAGCCACGAACTCTTGCACCTGAGGAGCCCTGCAGGGAGGTCTAGAGTCCTGGGAGCTGTGGCCGCTCCACCTCAGGCTTGCCCAAACTGCGTTGTTATGAAAATGTTTGCATTAGCTGCCAACTTTAAATATTAGGAGATAGCACATAAAGATTCCAGCTATAAAACCTCACTTGAAAGCACAGAAATCGGGCCCCTATCCCTACAGCGATGTGAGCTAGAGCTCAGAAGACCCCCCCAGTGGGTTTCATAAGGATGCCCGCCTGTCTCATGTGGGCATTTGAGTTTGCCTCTCCGGGTCTAGTCCAATCTGCTCCCTCTAACCCCCACCCCCTTCACAGCATCCCTGAACAGCCTTTAGCTAGTGTCTGCTTGAATGCCTCTGGGAACAGGGGGCTTACCTCGTCTTTGAGACAGTTGTTCTGAGCTGTTGGTGCTAGGAAAGGGCTCCTAATCTGAGCTATCTCCCCCCTTTCTGTAACTAAGAAAGATGCACAGGAAGGAAGTGGGTTTTAGAGTCCAGTGGATCTGGATCTGAGCTCCTCTCTAGCATTTAACCAGCTGTGTGATGTAAGGCGAATGATGCTCTTCCTTCACTTCGGTTTCCTTAGCTGCACCTCCGCTGCAGGACTGCGTGAGGCTCAAAGTAGAGCAAGTTTATAAAGCGCCTAAAGCAGGGTCTGGAACGCCCTCCCCAAATGGTCTTGATCATTCTATGTAACCTCCAGCCATGGGTCCAACCAACTCTTCCCAGTGAGTTCAAGGGCTGGGAGTGCAGCTGGAGAGAGCTGAGCAACGGTCTGTGCCAGCAAAGTCAGAGGCAGAGTCCCAACTTGAGGGCCAGCCCTCTAGGAGCTGCAGGTCTCTTATCTGCCTCCCGGACAGCTTGGCCCTCCAGGTGCTCAGGGAGCTTGAAGGTGGTAGGAAGGGCCCCGGGAGGGAGCCCCCACATCCCTGTCTCTGCTGTCTGCACACAGCCTGTAGCCCTCCCAGGATGGGATCCCTACTGCTGGGAATGGAACTGGAGGTGGGGGAAGTCAGGGGAGGGAAACACAGGGAACGATAATCACCATCATCTGGAACGGCTGCCATTACTGGGCACCTGGCCGTGTGCCTGGCAGTATGCTGGACCCTTCCCTGAGTCCTTGAACAGGATTCTCATAACAACCCGAGGACATAGAGACGGTTGTTCCTGTTTTACAGATACGGAAATTGAGGCTCAGAGAGGCTAAGAAACATGCCCAAGGCCACACAGCCAGGATTTAAAACCCTGTACGCGTCTGGTGTCTGAGCCTGCGCTCCCGACCACTGCACTCTACCGCTCCCTAAACTCGGGGTGCCTTCTTCATGCCCTCTCATTGGGCTGTGGGAGGGGAGGGGGAGAGAGTTTTTACCCCAAAGTGCTTCTGAATTGGTCTCTGAGCCTCTGCCGCGGGAACTAGCGAGGGTGCATCCGAGGGTGTCACCGCGCGAGGCACTTCGGGCGCGTGTGTCTGAGGGTCATGCGTGTAAGCGTGAGTGTGCGGGAGGACGCCTCGCCTGTGCGTGAGTGTCCACGCGTCCCGGTGTCGCGGGGGGCGTCCTGAGCGCGGCTCGGCGCGCGGTGGCTCCGACTCCACGTGCGGACGCGGGGCGCGCGCCGCCCCCCGAAGGTGCGGGCGGGTGAGTGCGAGCGTGCGCACGTGC